TTTGCATTTTTTTAACCTGGTTAAAAATTTGAAAGGAAAGTGAGGTGAGATTCAGGTTTCAGTGTTAATAAAGTTTTACCAAAACCTCGTGGCACCTGCTCACTTGTTGTCCGTGGCTGAGGTGGATGAGGACAGGGCCCAGGATGGTCATGCACTACGCAAGGATGGGTCAGCCTCTGGACAGACCATGTGGCGGTCCTGAGGATTGCTTTGCCTGGGGATGGCACAGCCATCCTGAGGTGAGTCCCCCACATTCTGCAGGTGTTTCTGAGCAGCCTGCCATTAAGCGGCTTGTGACTCGTGGCAGCAGGCCTTCTGGCCCACAAGATGAAAATACTGTTGGGCCTTGTACAGAAGTTTGTTGGTCTGTGTCCTAAAGGTGTGAGAAGAGCCTGGCCATCTGGAATGTTCTAGTATTTTTCCCAACCACCTTAAGATAGAAATCAAATAGCAAGTTCTGTGGCAGGGAGGGGAGCTGACTGGGCCTGTGGCTCTGAGAAGCTTCTGGACTCTTGCCTAGGGGGTTCTAGGGCTTGGCCTTCTGCCTCTGGTCCTGCATCCAAGGAGCCTGGCTGGTGCCGGCGTCCTGGGCTGATGAGCAGAGCCGCCTGGTGCTGCTTGGACTGGGAGAGTCCAGAGCCCTGGAGCAAGCAGACCTCACCTGTCCTTTTCTAGAACACAGAAAGACACAGCTGCCCAGAAAACTCTTGGAGTGGACTGGACAGTAGAAGTGCAGAGCCAGCCACGTGTGAATTTGCATTTTTCAGCTAGCTACGTGAAAACTATCTGAAGAACAGGTTGGATTAACTTTTTTTCCCTTGAAAATATTTATTTTTATGCTATCCTAATGATTGAACTCAGTGTCTCACGTGCTGGGTAAGCGCTCTGCCACTGAGCTGCAGCCCCAGCCAAAGTAGTTTTTTAATACATTTTAATTATCACAAGACATTTACTGCATTGTCTTATAATCAGTTTTTTTTTTTTTTTTTTAGAGAATTTTCAACATTTATTTTTTAGTTATCGGCGGACACAACATCTTTGTTGGTATGTGGTGCTGAGGATCGAACCCGGGCCGCATGCATGCCAGGCGAGCGCGCTACGGCTTGAGCCACATCCCCAGCCCTTATAATCAGTTTTTTATTAAGTTTTTTTTTTTTTTTTTTTTTTTTTTATGGACACAATGCCTGTATTTTATGTGATGCTGAGGATCAAACCAGGGCCTCACGCGTGCTAGGTGAGCTCTCCACCCCTGAGCCCAGCCCCAGGCTCATATGATGGATATTTTGAGGTTGTTTTGCTTTTACGCTCTGGAGCAGTGGTCTTCAGGATTGCAGTGTCTCACCCTCGGCCACTTAGTCAGGACCAGACTTGGGACATGTGTGTGGCAGGCAGCCGTGTGCTGTGGCACAGCACAGCTCCAGAGTCCCAGGGCAGATCTTGGTGCGGACACAGTGGGCAGGCTGTGGTCTGAGGCCCTGGAGGGCTGCCCAGAGTGGGCCTGTGGCTCCAGGGAGCAGAAGCTGCCAGAACATCCTACAGCAGTGGCAGAGCTCTGGGTCTGGGCGGCCACAGGAATTCTAGGACCTGGGGGGCAAGGCTTTGCACCACCATCTGGAATGTTCCTAGATCAGGGTTGTTCTGTGAACAATGATGCTGCAAACCACAGAGCCCTAGGAAGGGCTACCTCATGGCCACAGTGGACACTTCCAGAACTGGGGCCAGGGCTGGCTCAGTAGAGCGCTTGCCTGCCAAGCATGAGCCCCAGGTGTGAGCCCCCCTGCCACAAGAGAAGAATTTCTAGCATCTTGGAGTGAGGTGATGCACCTCTGGAGGCTGGTGCTTTCTGGAACCCRGCAGGGAGTCCTGGAATTGCAGGTCAGGGCCTTCCGTCCCACCCAGGACAGTGTGAGAGTTCCCACATGGAGCAGGACAGTCGTCTCTGCCACACCAAGGAGCAGAGTTATCACCCGACCTTGACAGATTGGGGGATCAGGAGCAGCAGGCAGAGTTGGCCCTGGTGTTGGTTGGCAAGTTCCAAACCGGAGCCGGGTCCAGGTTCCAGGATGCTGCTGGTGTTGGAAACGGGCGGGCAAGGGGTCCATGCTGGTCTCAGGGCCCTGGACATGGTGTCTGAGTGCGGTCTGGCTTTGGATCTGGCCGTCGGCTTGGCCCTGCAGAGGCATCTAGCTGGGGGGCCCTGGGGGGGGGGGTGGCCAAGCTGCTCTAGACGGGCAGGACTAGGCCTGAGGCTGAGCCGCCCGAGGTGCTGAACTGTGGGTGGAGCTTTGTGACCAGCACAGTGAGCCAGGGCAGAGACCACTTGGGAACCGCCCTGAACAGCGCCCCAGGGGCAGGCAGGCCCCGGACTCCTGAGGGCCAACCCTCTCCCCACTGTTGCCCCCAGTACCSGGTCCCTGTGACCATGAGGACCTCATGGATGGTGTCATATTTGGGGCCAAATACTTGGGCTCCACCCAGCTGGTGTCGGAGCGGAACCCGCCCCCCAGCACGCGCATGGCCCAGGCCCAGGAGGCGATGGACCGCGTCAAGGTGAGGCCAGGCGGGGTGCACGGGGCCCAGGCCTGTGGGTGGGTCTTTGGGGGCCTCCATTCCTGCGCTCCCCACAGGCCCCCGACGGGGAGACCCAGCCCATGACGGAGGTGGACCTCTTTGTCTCCACCAAGAGGATCAAGGTCCTCACGGCTGATTCCCAGGTACCCTCCGTGCATACCTGCGGGTTGGGGTGGGTCCTGGAGGTCTCGGGGTGAGCCCTGCACTAGTTGCCCCTCCCGCCCCAGGAGGCCATGATGGACCACGCCCTGCAGACCATCTCCTACATCGCTGACATCGGCCCGGTGCTGGTGCTCATGGCGCGGCGGCGGCTGACACGGAGGTCACCCCAGGACCGAGGGCGCCCCCTGTGCAAGATGATGTGCCACGTCTTCCACTCAGAGGACGTGAGCCCACAGCGCCCCGGGAGCAGGGACTTGCCTCCCCAGAGCCCCGCCTGGCACAGCCATCTTCCCTGGGGCCCCCACCCTCCCTGGAAGCCCCGAGCCCACAGCCACCTCCCGCTCCTGGGCTCCCGCTTCCAGCTGAGGAGGGCCCTGCGGCCCAGCCACGGCTCTTAGTTGTGGATGGCCCTTTTGTGACTTCATTCACTGTGGACGCGTGGTGCTGGGATGGGACCCAGGGCCTCGCACACAGGCCAGCCCCCACCCCGGGGCCCCGCCCCCCAAGGCCACGGCTTCCTGGGCTCCAGCCCGGTGTGAGGATTGAGCACGTTGGCCACTCTGGCCCCAGACAGGCAGACAGGGACAAGGGCCCTGCATCTTCCCTGGGGGTAGGGGGCTTCCAGAAAGCACAGGTTTGGAAAGGGCCCTGGAGGCCACACAGGTGTGTGACCAAGCCCTCCTGAGTGTCCGGCAGGTTCCCCACCACCCCCTCCCTCCCTCCCTCCTACCCGATTGGCCGTCACCAACGCCCTAAAGCCCCAGGGCAGTTGGCCATCTCCTCGGGATCTTGTCCCAGGTAGAGCCAGGGAGGCCCAGGTCTGAGGACGTCGGGGACTTTGGTCCTGAAGGGCAGGGTGGGACAGTCTGGGACTCTGGCACCTCCCGCAGGCCCAGCTCATTGCACGAGCCATAGGCCAGGCCTTCACCGTGGCCTACAGCCAGTTCCTGCGGGAGAGCGGCATTGACCCCAGCCAGGTGGGCACCCAGCCCAGCCAGGGGGCCSCCAGCCCTGGCCACCTCCACAACGGGGACCTGGACCACTTCTCCAACAGTGAGAACTGCAGGGAGGTGAGCCAGCGAGGCCCCGGCTGACCCCGGCTCCCTGCGCCCCCACCCTGGCCTGTGCCAAGCAGCCTTTGGCCTGGTCCCCACCTAGGTGTGCATTGAGAAGCACAGGGGTGAAGGCCTGGGTGTGGCCCTGGTGGAGTCGGGCTGGGGCTCCCTGCTGCCCACAGCTGTCATCGCCAACCTGCTGCACGGGGGCCCCGCCGAGCGCTCAGGCGCCCTCAGCATCGGCGACCGCCTCACCGCCATCAATGGGACCAGCCTGGTGGGGCTGCCCCTGGCCGCGTGCCAGGCAGCTGTGCGTGTGAGTTCCCTGGGAGGCAGGGCCGCTGCGTGGCCCCTGGCGGGTGGGAAAGCCAGGCCCGGGGCTGCAGCCTGTCAAGGGGCCCAGCCCCAGGTGAGGCCGACACCCCGCCCCGTAGGAGGTGAAGCCACAGACCTCAGTGAGGCTCAGCATCGTCCACTGCCCACCCGTCACCACTGCCATCATCCGGAGACCCCATGCGCGCGAGCAGCTGGGCTTCTGCGTGGAGAACGGCATTGTGAGGCTGGGGCGAGGCGTGGGGCAGGGCGGGGCGGGCAGGGCGGGCCTGGGCTGCTGACCGCTCCCGCCCCCAGATCTGCAGCCTCCTCCGCGGCGGCATCGCGGAGCGCGGGGGTGTGCGCGTGGGGCACCGCATCATTGAGATCAACGGGCAGAGCGTGGTGGCCACGCGGCACGAGCGCATCATCGAGCTGCTCACCGAGGCCCACAGCGAGGTRCGTGGTGGCAGCAGCGGAGGAGGTGGTGGCGGGTCCCTGTGGCACGGGCCGGCCTCAGCCCAGTCCTGTCCCCGCAGGTGCACATCAAGACCATGCCGGCCGCCACCTACCGCCTGCTGACGGGCCAGGAGCAGCCCGTGTACCTGTGAGGGCCACCCCAGTGCCTTTGTCCCTGTGGCTCTCTGAGCTGCCTGGGACCCCTAAGGAGAATGTAGCCACTTATTTTCTAACGTGAAAAATTAAAAGTTTATTGAATGGGCAGAGTCGTGGGTTGCGGTGGGGCCAGAGGGAAGCCGGCCCACCCTCCTGCCCCTTGTGTTTCTCAGAAGTCACTAGAAACCCTGTGACATGACTAAGGCCCAGGGGAGGGAGACCGGGTTCCAGGTCCTGCAGGGGAGCGGACTCCAGCCGCAAGGAGGACTCGGCCCCTGGGTGGGGTCACAGGTCGGTGGCCGGGCCCCAGTCATAGCCCTCCTCATCGGAGGATTCTGCGTCTCGGGCTCGAGTGAACTTTCTCCTCAGGGCTTCGCGCTCATAGGTCCTGGGGATGAGGAAACAGATGGTCCCCTGGGTGCAGAGGGCAGGCGCTGCGGGGTGGACGCTGCCTGGCACACGCATGTGGGCAGGGCCTGGTGCAGAACCCCTATGCACCTCAGAGTCCCAGCTCAGTGTCCCAGGAAGAGGATTCCAGCCCTTGGCCCTGACCTCACAGGGCCCGGAGAGGCCATCAGGCCCCGTCCACCCCTAGGCTAGGCGCACCTGGAAGCTGGGGCCTGCCACTGGACGTCTGCCTCCACCCCAAAGTCTGGGTTGCAGGAAAAGGGTGGAGGCCCCGGGGCCTGCAGTGAGGGGCTCTTACCGCATGCTGTCCTGTCGCCATTGGCCCTGGGGGTGGCGGCTGTTCACCTTCAGGGACAGGGAGGGCGGCTAGGGTGAGGGGCCCAGCCTGTGCCCAGGCAGCAGTCATTGCTGTTTACCCAGCGTCCCAGAGAGGAGGCTGGGCACTGGGTGAGGAGCCCGCCGTGGCCAGCGCCTCTACCAGCAGGGACCCAAGAACTCAGAAAAAGTCCCTACCAAACGTGAGCTGCCCGGCTCCTCGCGCCCCTCGCCCCCACTGCCAAGGGACACCATGTAGGTCACCTACACAGCTGCTACACGGTTGTCAGTTTAAGTCACAGGCTGGGCGCTGTGGCCAGCAGCTCCCAAGGCTGAGACGGGAGGGTCACAGGTTCAAAGCCAGCCTTCAGCTAGTGAGACCCTGTCTCAAATTTTTAAAAAAGGCTGGGGACGTGGCTCAGTGGTAAAAAGCCCCTGGGTTTCATCCCTAGTACCCCCACACTTTATATGTACATAGGTGTGACTCTGCCAAGGCGCACACCTGTCATCCCAGGTATTTGGGGGCGGGAGGCTCACAAGTCCAAGGCCAGCCTGGGCCACTCAGCAAAACCCTGTCTTGGAATTAAAAGGGCTGGGCGTGGCTCGGTGGCAGAGCAACCCTGGGGTCACCCAGGGCATGGCACACCTGGGCCTGTCCACACCCATGCAGGTATGGAGCACCTGCAGCTAGGCGTCCCTGGATCCTTGCTGGGACTCACCTGGGGCCCCCTGTGAGCTGGGATGTCCCCAGGATGCCTCGGGCTCTGGGGCTCGTCCAGCTGCACAGGCTCTGAGGACCGGGCCAGGGCCGGTGCTGGGGGCCCCTCCTCCACGTCCGTGTGGGGCCCACCCTCGCCGTCTGTGCAGCCCTCGCCGTCCGTCTCGTAGTCGCTGTTGGCACGGCTGTCACAGCTGAGGTCTGCGGAGCTGCCGGCCAGGCCGCGGTGAGGCAGGTCCAGGTTGTCCTCCGAGGAGCCATCCAGCTGCAGGGAGCGGGAATGCTGCACTGGTCCAGCCGAGCCAAGGCCCCAACCAGGCCCCAGGCAGGACACACGTCTCAGCCGCGGTCCCCAGCCAGGCGAAAGGCCCACCCTCAACCTCCCAGACCCCAGTCCTCAGACCTCAGGCCGAGATGGCCGGTCACAGGCCGTGGACCCACACAGGGCCCAGGCTTACGCTGAGCCCCAGCCCCGGGAGACCCTGCTCCCAAAGCTGAGCCCCAGCCTGGCCCCACCSCAGGCCTAGGCCAAGACCCAGCCTCGGGTCGACTCTCGACCCCACCACGCCTGAGCCCGAGCCCTAACACCGGAGAGCATCCGTGTCCCTGCTGGTGCCTGGCACCTGGTCCTCGGCTGTCCAGATGGGCCGCGTCTGCTGCTCCTGGATGGTGGCCTTGAGCTCCTGGTACCAGGCATCACTCGTACCCTGCAGGGCGATGGTGGCTGTGGGACAGGGTGTCAGTGACCCGCCCGCCCTTCCTGGGCCCCCAGGACCCGCCCACCTGTGAAGAGGTGGCCGCTGTGCTTCCGCAGCTTCTGAGCCTGTGCGTAGAGGCGCCGGCTACTGCGGCGGGAGGCGGGTGCCAGCCACTCGCGCAGGGCCTTGAGGGCCGCCCGGCTCTCCGGGGCACAGAAGATCACAATGGGGTAGTATTGCACATAGTTGAGACGCTCGATGGCAGAGGGCGTCACGTCTAGGAGTGCATGCTTGTCCTGGGCAGGGCTCACGGGGTGGGCAGTGTCGAGAGAGAAAGAAACACACCCAAGAGACAGAGCAGAGGTGAAGGAAACGGAAAGAGGTAGTCGGAGGTCAGAGTGGACCACACCTTCGCACTCACAGCATGTGTTGGGGGCAGGGTTTGGGGCCGCTTGGTGGGCATCCTGGGCACCAGAGCTGCCCTCTGGTCTCAGTGCCTCTGCCCCAGGTTTACTGCAGAGTGACTCAGGGCAGGCTCGGTATCGTGGCCGCCCACCCAGAGCCTCCGAGGGGCTGCGTGGAGCTGTCAGTGTGGGGTGAGGACAGCCCTGACCGGGCGCCCAGGCCTCAGCTTCCCCGTCCAGGGCCCAGGGCAGGGGGCACTCACCTTCTCGGCGATCACCCTCACGGTGTCCAGTTTGATGATCTTGCTGGGACTGTCGGTCCTGGAGATGCTCTCTGGGGGGACAGGGCGTGCAGCTTCAGGAGGTGACCCTCGCCRCTCAGATCCCTGTCCACCCAGCCCTCCCCTGCTCAAAAAGCCACCAGGACCCGAGTGCTTGAGGAAAATCCAGAGCTGCATCTGGGGCCCCTCCTGCCTCCCCTCGCCTTCCGAGCAGGACCCTGGCCCTGGCCCTCAGCAGGCAGAGACACTGCACCTTGGGGACGAGGGTCCCACAAAACCCTAACCACTCAAAACGTCCTCGCTCCTGGGCGGCGTGGGGTGAGCTCTGTGGTCAGAGTTCGCCTGGCCTCTGTGCGCCCTGGGGTCCTCCCCAGCACCGGCACCAGGGGAGGGGCCGCAGGCCAGACTTGGCCAAGAGCTGCAGGCCCTGACCCCCCGCTGTCCAGTTGGCTCCGTGGTGGTGGGTTTTGGACTCCCCTGGGGTGTTGCCTGCCCTGCTCACTGCCGAGCCTCTAGCTCAGTAGCCACCTCCCGAACACAGGACACCCGTCTCCGAGTAATGCTGCCTCGGCTCACTCATCACACCTGGTTCCATGTGTTAAGGAGGAGTCAGAGGGTCTACCTGGACAAACTGCCCAGGTYGATGCGGCAGCCTGGGAGAGGGCACGGGGGTCCCATGTCCTGTGTTTGCCTGTGTTGGTCAGATTCTCTCCCCCAGAACAGCAGCCGCAGCCCGGCAGCCCCTCCCCGGGACCTGCCTCCCTGGGACCTGGCTCCTCAGCACCTGCCTCCTCACCTGCCTCCCAGCACCTGTCTCCTCACCTGCCTCCCAGCACCTGTCTCCTCACCTGCCTCCCAGCACCTGCCTCCTCACCTGCCTCCCAGCACCTGTCTCCTCACCTGCCTCCCAGCACCTGTCTCCTCACCTGCCTCCCCGGGACCTGGCTCCCAGCACTTGGCTCCCAGCACCTGTCTCCTCACCTGCTT